TAAACCCCTAAACCCCTAAACCACACCTGGGGATGAAAAGGAAAGTTCAGGAGTCACTGGCCGTCCTAGAATAGCAGCTGGAAGGTAAACCCCAAAAGGAGCGGTTGGTTTTGGAGAGCCTGGTTGTGGGGTGCTAGGGTTTAGGGTTTAGGGTTTAGGGTTTAGGGTTATCAGAAAGACATCACTCTGAGGTGGACTCATTCCTAGGGCAGCCTGCCAAAGGACTTGGGAAAACACAACAAACACGCATGACACATTGGGATGCATGACTGTGGTTGCGGTTATTAGAGAGGCAGAAATAATTCAAATCACCATCCAAGATATCACGTGCACCAATCTCTCTGAAACACTAAGACAAGCATGGATGGGTTGTTCTCAAAATTATGGGCCTCTTTTGGCAATAGATTGTATCATGGCATCTAGGTGACGCCCCAATTTTGGGAACTACCTCTATTAAGTTATAGCATTTGGTCTAAACTCGTATCAGCCCTGGCTGATGGACTTGGTAATCTTGGGATTTTCCAGCAGTGGGCAGAGGGCTGGTTGCACCTTTGAGTGCTTGCCCGGCTCTTTGTGGGATCCCACACCCTGCCCCGCATAAGCTGTTCTAACTGCTGGAACACAGCTGGTATGATGATCGCCCCCAGGCCCCTTAGCCCGAAGTAATGGTGCTCTTAGGAAGGGTGGGCAGAACTTTGAACGTGGCGAATCATCATGCCCTGCGTTTCAAAGACGGACAGAAGCCAGCCCGCGCTGGTCTCAGTGTCCTAAACCTGCAGGTGGATTGCTTGAGCGCCCTGCTCCCAGCATCTGCAAGTAGATTCTCAACTGCTCTTCAGTCTTGCCCTACTTTTATTGGGGGGGGGGCATCTAGCACTGTGCTTAGGATTACCCGTAGAAAGCTACATACTTAACTGTCCACGCATATGAAGGAGGACTCAGCTCTTTCACAGCCACCCCGGTGGCTAGGCCCAGTTCACTGAGGCCCTGATGCCAATGGTTCAGACCAGAAGTTCGATCGACTCCTCCGGAGCCCAATGAATACAATTTTCAGGTTCAATGAGTCGCTTCATGTGGTGGTGGCAAATAAGGTATCTACACCTATATAACTTCTACACTACGTTACACCAGTTTTACATGGTCTTACTATACTTCTAGCTTCCGTTGTTCGGTCACTGACAGCCTCAGGTACAACACGGGATGAGAGCCGAGGTTGGTAGAAGGAGAGCAGTGGAACGGCGGGACCACTGGCATGCCGTAGATGGGCACACAATGCTTTGGCCAAAGCATCAGAACACTTCTGGGCAGTGGGAAGCTCTAGCCCTGCATATACCTTCAGTCATCTATGGGAACACCTTCGCCCTTCATGCCAAGCCTCGTTTTGAGACATAGCCGTATGAACAATGCGGTTGTGTCCTTGCTGTGCCTAGCTGCGCATCCGCGACAAGCAGATGTGAGGAAATGGGTGGCCGCGGAACTGTCCCACCAGGCGCAGGCTCGCTGCTCCTGCTGTCATCAGCGTATTCCCAAAAGTTACCGCGGGCTCCGGCTACGGTTTTACAAGTTTAGGAGCGTAAGTTTCGCTACCGCGGGATTATCTAATCCATCACTGTGCCAATTAGTAGCAGCAAGGAATCCTGCCATGTGAATATGTTTGCCCTCGTGTCCTCTGCGGTAGGGCCGACGACCTTTGGCTCCGCGTAGGGTGTCAGCGCGAAGCGGTGCCCCTCTGCCTCCTCAAAAGGAGGGAACGGCCGCGGAGTCAAAAGTCCAGATCCAATTGCACCTGATCAACTGATCCGCGGTAAGTCTCAAGTTGCCAAACCCTAGGGATGCAAGTATACAAATGATGCCTACATTGGGCCCTAAAGTCTATAAAGATTCTTGGGCTGTTTGGATTTTCAGGCAAAGCTAATTTGCAAAGAACGATTCGATGCAGCTCCTTGCAGTCGGGAAGCCGTAAGTGCTTCTGCAACTATGAAGCTTGAGCACGTCTTGGGTACAGGAGGATGTGCTCGTGGCATCAGGGCTGCCGCAGTGTGCGAAGAGTGCCTGATATAACTCAAGCCAAGGCCCTCCATGAAAGGCATGAAACATACTACACTTACTACACATAGCAACTTGCATGATCATACGCATGTACCACGGGCGTGCATACACATTTCCTACCAACACCCAGAAATGCAATGCCAAACAGCCTGATGGTAAAGCAAAGGCACATAGTGGCAATTGACCAGCTGGTGCATGAGCTCATCCTGGGATTTTCAATGGCCCGATGGCGCAGACACCCCTTCCCCTGAATCTGGTTGTTAGTAGGAAGGAATAAGGGAACATAATCCATATATACTCCCCATAGAATCTCTATATGATCCCTATATAATCAATTTGTAAGGGAACCGAAATGAAATTAACATGAACTAGGAGTTTCTACTGCTTCAGTCTTGGTATCATCTGGGCGCCATGAGGAAAAGTCGAAGCCGACATTCGCAGGCTTGGTGCCTCAGCTTGTGCTGACGAATGAAGAGTGACAGTGCTCATGATGACCCGAACTATTTGAGCTATAGCCTAAACTCCTTATAAAGGAGGGTTATTAGGGGATTATATATGGCACTACTATCGGGCTTACTAAGGGAGATACTAGGAGTTTAGACTATAGCTCATTTGGTAAGCGTAGAAGCAATAGTAATGCAAGAGGAGTAGGACCGCTGTGCTTCGTGTTCAGTAGCTTTCATGGGTGTATGTCACAAAAAAGGGCCAATACGTCCCTCGAAACAAGGAGGCCGTTGAGAAATTAAGCGGGCCCCCAAAGTATCATTTTGACACAAACCTAGCCAGAATGAGCTGCAGTCTAAACTCCTAGTATCCCCCTGAAGAACCCCTACAACACTCCCGTATATAATCCCCTATATAAGCCCTTGTAAGGAGTTTAGACTGTAGCCAAGATACTGTTGCACACTTCAAGCGTGTTGTTCACTCCGAAGATCCATTTAACCTGATTCATGTGCCAGGCCCCAACGAAGTAGGCCAGATCTCCTGAGCTATACAGGCCAAACTGTTTATGGGGGGGGGGGTTCCAAAATTATGTGTACCATTTGGGGGGGTCCCTGTAATAAGGATTTTTGTATTTTGGGGTCTATGTTGGGGTCCCTCTATGTAGGGAAACTACCAGCAATCCGAATAACAGGCAGATTTAGGGCATAAACATCAGAGTATTGATGCTATAGTCTATAGTACTGTGGTAAGCACTGCGAGTAAAGCTTGTGCCTAGTGTGATTCAAAGAGGTTAAGTTTGAATGTCGTAATGCTGGATGGATCCAGCGTAAGGACGTAGGGCGGAGGGCGACCGCAGGAGTTTGGTAACAGGGCGAACACATACTTTGGATATGTCCGTTGTTTGACAAAAAAAAATCACGAAGAAGAGAGCACCCACACCCACACCGTGAATTTCCTACCTGGAGAGCAGTACCTCTTGCAGCGATTTTGAACAGAAAGCAACCGACGACTCACCCGACAAGAACTTCCTAGGCGCATCTACGCATGTTTCCGTACATCCTCAGTGGCATGCGGGAAGACACACAAGCATGACATTTCAAAGCCCGGGCTAAGGCTGCTGTCAGTCAGCCGCGGAAACCAATAGAATCTCTTCTGCATCCGTGACAACCTCCTCATGAACGTCCTGAACCCTTCTGTACCTCATGTTCCCAGGCAGGTATGTGAAACCCACAAACAACCAAAAGGGTCCAAAGAACAACCCGCCCAAGGCTCGATGAATCACCGCTGTGAGCCAGTTGCTGTCATGCAAGTCGCCGCCGGCAAAAGGTGTCTCGGCGTAGAAGACCGAGTTAGGTCGCTGCCTTGAAAGCAGGAGAGGTTCTAGTCTGCCGCACATGGCTACGCGTGGAGATCATGTTGTTGAGAGCACGCCTCTGTCGGGTGCGTTTCTGCTACTCTTGCGTGACTATAATTACTGCAGCAGCATCAAGAAGATGTAGCAGCCTGGGTATTTTTAGGTCTGTCTCAAGTTTGGACTGAATCCCCTGCCCTTGTCATCTGCGAAATAATGGCTTGCTTATCAACCTTACAGGTTGTTATCAACCTTACAGGTTGTTAATCGGGAATATATTAATATATAGGGACTAGATTCCCATGTTCCCTATTCTAACAACCAGTAAGCAACAGCATCGCTGGAAAGGGGACTACCAGCAAGGACATACACCACCTCGTCACGCATCATCGGAAGACTCGCGCGGGCGAAGCAGAGCTTGCTGGGGCCACCCATAGTAGTTGCAGAAGAATCTAAAAATGTTTTCACCGTGTCACTACATGTGCTGTCACACCGGGAAAAGATGGGATGATCTTAATCCTGTTTTGTTGTAGATACATGTCACTGTATGATTCGGACTGAAAAGTGCATCTTATCCACACACTTATTTTGTTATCATGTGCTTTCCTGCGACAGTAGCATCTAAGGCCCAAGCTTCGAAAGCGCTGTTGCAAAACGACGGTGTGGGCAAACAAAGGTGCTGTCTGAGATGGCCTCAGACCACACTGACTGGAAGTTGCCAACAGACATTTTAGATTTGGGGCTTGCGCTTCAGGGTCCCAGGGCCTCACCTAGAAACTTCCACCCTTGCGACCCAGGCAAGGCCAAGGTATATCTATGATGGAAGTGGGTCACTGGCATAGCACGCATGCAGCAAGTGGTGGCCCCATGTGGGGAATCTTGCTAGCGAGCCCTACTCAAGATCTTGTCAGCAAAGCGCAGCTCATACATTGCATACTATATAATATAGGGTAATATACAATAATATGCGATAGTATGGTATAATATATTATATAAAAGGATTGTATAGTACTCTTCCGTAACTTCCCTGAAGGGCCCGAAACGCAAACGCAATGCACGCCCTCCCTTGTCACCATCACCCTCCCCTGTCACCATCACCACAGCGAAGTAAAAACGTCGCCTACAATGCAATGGTTCAACAAGTTTTCCTGATCCACACACTGGCCTTGGTGAGCTGGGAAAGGAGGAATGAAAAAGAAAATGGAAACTACTATAATGTACTGGGGTTGTATTGGGATAATGGAAAAGAAAGTGGAAACTACTATAATATATTGGGGTTATATTGGGATGATGGAAAAGAAAATGGAAACTACCATAGTCTATTGGGTTTATTTAGGGATAATGGAAAAGACAATGGAAACTACTATAATGGGTTATATAGGGATTGCTGCAAGGATCTATGCCTTCATTCCTAGCTAACCAAATGCCAGCACAAGCTTACACTTGGACAGACAAGTATGTGTTTCTCTCGGTTTTGGTAGGCGCGAGACCCCAAATCCCCAACACCGTTAACACCAAAGGAAACACAACAAATATTTCACCAAAGAAACACTACACAATTTGAAGCTCCACACCCGGTACGACATGAGCTTTCATGCGAGGGTATACTTGATGTCAAAAGAAGTGATTCACGAATCACAAATCCTCGACCTCCCGGCTCATGAAATTCCCAAAGCATTCCAAATGCATTCCTAAATAGGATCCTCATGATGTCCTTGTAATTAATCCCTAACACCTAGGTTCACTCAAAACACGTAAGGGTACCCTGCGGACCCTGCGAGTAAAAGGCCATCAGTTGCGGGTTGCAATCCCCTTTTACCCCTAGGACCTTAGGTATTACGGTCTGCAATCCCCCTTTGCCTCCAGGGGGGGGGGGTAGGTATTTCCTTGTAGGCGTACCCCTATTTTGTAAACCCCGACTTGGACGCAGGCCCTGCTCATCCGGTAAAAGGGAGCCGAGGATCCGCTTCCGTGCCTGCAGGGGAACAAGAGGAAGCTTTCAGGAAGAGGCCTACATGCTTAGAAAAGGGCTTTGTAGGGTTTGTGGGCGTTTTAAGACCTTACTCCAGGGCATGCCTTAAGGTGAGTAGGGAACCTAATTTCAGTGTATACTCTGTCTCTGCTTGGAAGAACTATGCAAGCTATGAATTGCTTCCCAGAATTGTGGATCCTCTCATGATGTTCCACTGAGGGTCATCCCACCCCCCTTGTCCACGGCACATGAGGCCAATATGGGTTTGCTCAAAATCGGAGAGGTCTAGGAACCATATGGATATTATGGGGATTACAGAATCATTGTAGGGGAGCCCCCGCTAAGGGTTTGATAGGGATAACTTTCAGACCTCCCCCAATGGCAAAAAGCCTCCGAGCTTGTGCAGTGAAATTGTGACGAGGCTCGGATAGAGTTCCGCCACAGATGAGTTGAACGCCCACTTCCTGCAAACTACTATAGTATATTGGGGTAATATTGGGGATAATGGAAAATAAAATGGAAACTACTATAGTATATTGGGGTTATATGGGGGATAATGGAAAAGATGTTTCAGCTTCTGCCCTATCTCCAACGGCCACATGAAAACTCCTTCCCAACAGGCATGAAAAGCGTTCGAGCAACAAGAACAACTCACTGCAAATCACCACTTCAGCCTAATCACAACCAGAGTGCTCTAAACGGCATGAGAATACTCGCTTACAAAACGGTGCTGGGCCAGCATCATGAGCATCAGCTGGCCAATTGTCATCAATCCTTTGGATAAAGGGGGCACGGATCAGCATCATAAGCATCAACTGGCAAGTTCTTCGGATAAAAGTGGAGCACGGGCCACCGGGACAGCATCACGAGGATCAGCTGGCAAGTTCCTTGTATAGAAACGAGGCGCAAGGCACGGATGAGCATGATGAGCATTAGAGAAGAACGGGGGGCGGACTAGCATCATAACATAGCATGAGCGTCAGCTGGCCAATTCTTTATGGGTTCTTTGGATAGAAAAGGGACATGGACCACCACGATGAGCATCCGCTGGCCAGTTCTTTGCATAGACACAGGGCACTGCCGAGTATCATGAGCATCAGCTAGCACCTTCTTTGAAAACACGCCGCTCCGCGCCCCCTTTCCTGACCAGAGAGCCCTGAAATCGCCCATGCGGCCATGAAAAGATTAGCATCTACCATCGGACCATCTTCTTTCATCCCTGGAAGTATCCGCACACTTTTGGCGAACCTCTGCCCCTAACCCCATAGCTTCAGTCATGATGTCGTCCGTCGCTGCGTGGGAGAGAGAAGGCGCCTGCATGCGGCAACTTTCTGTGACGTCACTGCAAGACTTTCCAAGGCTTCCTGGGTTCTTGAGTGAAATTCTGGCATGCACATGGCCGTCCCTAATTATCCTACACACCAAGATGCGACCAATCAAGCCTCGTACCATGGGTAGGCCGCGTACATGATGAGAGCGAACACAGTCCCCTCATCAGCGCCGTGGTTGAGGTACACCTCAACAATTAGCTTGCCGAACTTGATAAGGCTTCATGCGTGTCTTCCCTAGCAAGGATCAAGCACAAGCCAGGCCAGGTAGGGAGGTAGTGGCTAAGAGATGCTGTCCCCCTTTGTGGGGGCGTGGCCGAAGCAGTTGACAGACAGGCCCTGACAGTTTCTTGTAGGAGGGCTCCATGGAAAGGATCGCGCGTTGTCCCCAAAACTTGCTATCTTAAGCATGCTATCGCTGCTTATGATGATGAAATCACACCAGAGCTGGGAGATTTGAGCACGCTAGAATTAATCCTAAATCACAAGCAAACTGCTACAATGAAGACAATTCAAATAACGGCTAACACAAAGTTCTAATCAATGTATGTACCGAACTTCCTGGTTGTTCGCAGGGGTTGAAAGAATGCCAAAGAAAATGGGACTAACATGTGTTTGGGGTTTGCATGGGAGCTACTTGGGGGAGGAAATTTCTCTCTTCCCGATTGCGTCAAGCAGAAAACGTGTTGATACACCCCAAACGACACCTTGTGCCATGTTTATTGCTACTACTATTATTTCTACTACTTTTTCGCTATTAGTATCATGAGTAATACTCATATAATTTTCCTTTCTACTACGGTTATCATTGCTATATTTATTCACTATTATTAATGCCCTGCCTTGGCTGGGTTCACACGCCCACTTTCGTAGAGCTCACGTGGGGCTGCTGGCAAGCCCTTCTCGGATCCATCAATGACGTAGCCTGGCAGTTCTGCATTCGTTTGGTGATTTAAACTTCTTGCCCTTGGTTTCATGACGAAAGTTGGGCCACCTCTGATGATAATCATCTAATCTGTTCAGGTCAAAATCAGAACCTGCTGAGTAATTTTGCCCAATTCCATTTCGGCCATCCATGCATCACGATTGGCATGGCTAATCACATTTTTCTAGTAGTTGCTGCTGTGGTCATAGATATCCATTTTCAACACTGTCCCAAATGGTCCGAAGCTGTTGAAGCCCGTGTATGCCATGCATTCATTCGGATCATCTTGGCAGCTACAAGTAATGTCGGGTAGAAGTTGGCCTTCATTCGCGCTCTTGAAGCTCGGGCAGCATTCGCAAACATGCGACTGCTGCTTCTGATTACTGACTTCCAAGTCAGGATCCCAAAATTAGGAATACCATTTGGGGGTCCCCATAATGAGGGACTATGATATTTTGGGCCCTATGTTGGGGTCCCCCTTATTTGGGAAACCACAGCCCAGAGGCTCTCCCACCCACTTCGCTGGTCATCTGGGGCGCGAACCGACCGCCAGGACGGGCCAAAGTGGCCCAGAAGTAATGGGCAGATCCTTAGCAGGGTTTAGGGTTTAGGGGCAGATCCTTAGCCAAATTTCAGCCTGGAGATCCTCCCTCTGGGCAACAATGAAGTAATAGCTGCCCTGCTACTGCTACAGATCTCAAGAAGACACTGCTACGCACACACACACACACAGATATATATATATAAGTTTATATATATATACATATATATATATATAAGGTTTCGTCCTAGCAAGGGGAGGCGCCGCGGAGAAAAGGTTTCGTGGTCCAAGTGAGTGCCGGCTTTGCTGCGATGGTTCCAAAAAGACTAAAACTGCTTCTGCCATTCTTACTGTTATTACTACGATTACTCCTTTTATTCGTCTTACGGTTATTCTTATCTTTAGCAGACAGTTAGCCCGGGATTTAGCAGCATGTTGCGGTACCCTATGCAAGGCTTGGAAAAGGGATATGCGGGCTTCCTCAAATTAGGGGTAGCCCTTGCAGAGTCCCCTTAATAATGACTATAGTATTTTGGGCTCTGTGCTGGGGTTCCCCTATTTAGGGAAAACTATCATTTAATTCTATTCAGGCTTCTGCAAGGCTGTTGCCAAACTTCAGGACGTCTGGAGGAGAGGCTCTCTGTCCATTAGCCCTGCCCCAGGATAATAGGGGGGGTTTCGTAAAATTAGGGGTACCTTCAAAAAAGGGGTCATAGGGCTGTTGTAAGGATATATAGGGTTTAGGGTTTGGGGTTTCCAAAATCTCTCTCTCTCTCTCTCTGCCGGCATGCGGACGCAAAGCCCCCGCTGCAGTGCGCCGGTCACATGTCATTGCACACAGGGTGAACATGACAAAGCAAGATGAGCAAAGGGATACTCTTGGGGGCCCTATAGGAAGAACTATGTATCTGGGAGTCTATGTGTGGGTCCCTCGATTTAGGGAAACTACCATATTGGGACGGACATCCTTGCTTGGCTCCAGGTAGGTTGAATCTTCAATTTAGGGTTTGTGGTTTTTGGTTCACGGCTTAGGGCTTAGGGTTTAAAGCAAAAGTACGAAAAAAACCCAACTCACCCCAGCAGGTTCTTTCTGAGCTTTGCATCATCCAGAAGCGATTTTTACGTAATCATCGTGAACCCTGCATTCAAACAACATTATACTACCGAAATACCCCAATCCCCTTGAAAGTAATCTTGGAGAGTGGCCCCCAGCTCCAGCCCCCTGGAGCGATAGTTGCCCTTGCAGCTCAAGATTGCATACAAACACTTCTACTTGAAAGGTGGTAGTTTCCCAAAATTAGGGTACCACAATATAGACCCCAGTATACTTTAGTCCTTATGATGGGGACCCCCAAAAAGGTACCCCTAATTTTGGGAAACCCCCAGGTGTTGTGGGGTTTAGCTGGGCATCGGCGCTTTCGGACTTGGAAAAAGAGGCTTAGGGTTGAGCCGGGGTGAGGATTGAAAGCTGTAAGTTGCACGGGAAAGCGGCTAGGTCAGGTGAAGAGGTAGGATCAGTGTGACATCATGTACAAAACTGACCTTCTCTGCAACATGAGCGTGATTCTGACGTCAGCGTGCTGGGGGCATGGTGTCAAGAGTTCAGAGTTCGGCAGGCGGAGAATTTCTAAGCATCGGATTGAGCAAGAAGTACGAGAGTTAGGGTTGAGAACATCAACAGTGCTGATTGGTTGTTGAGCACTGCGTTTGCTGCAGGCTCCCATGGAAACAATGCCTTAGCTCTCACATGATGACGCCAAAATTTGAGAGCTCTCGCCTTGAGTGGAGGAGGCGCCACAGTCTCAAAACTTTCCAGTCAACACCTTTCTCATGTTAGTAAGCTGCTACTTTGGCACACAGTTTTGCTGTTTGCTCTTCGGGAGTTAGCAGCCTTTTTAATCACGTGACAACTTGATGCGAGAGACTTGAAGTCACACCTGCTCTCCTACATGCGCTCCTGGTGAAGCTGAACGGTTGGCCAAATCCATGCTAACATATCTTAACGCCTGCGCTGTTATGGCTTTTGCGGATCGTCAGAATTGATTGTTATCAGGACAGTTTTCAAAATGGGGAGCCCTGGGGACAAGTTTGGGGACTATAGAGACGTGCAGGAGTCCCTATCAAGGATTCTAAAGGACTTGTTTTCAATGTCCTAGCAGTTTTCCAAATAAGGCATGCAACCCTAAACCCTGACCCCAAAGCCTAACCCCTAAACCCCAAACCCATTCCTATCGCGTGGCCGAAAAATCATACCCCAATAATGTAATCCGCGGTATAGGGACTCCAGAAAAAGAAAAAACATTTGTCGAAACCCCCATACCACCCGTCAGAATGTCACCCCCAATCTCCATTGACTCTCCACGATTCCACTTATTCAAGCCCCCGAGCCCCTAAGCCCTGTACATGGCTAATCGTATTTCTGCTCCGAAAGAGGGACTGGAAACCCTACATCCGCCTATCCGTCCCCTGAACCCTATTCCACCATGAGTACTTCTATCATTGTGCAGTCTGCCTGGCCTCGAAACCCAGAGCGGACCACGCGGCTGCAGCAATGCCCTTGGCCTTGGAGGAAACCGGGTTGCTGTGAAGGAATTTCATTCAAGCTACCACACTATGGGTATACAGTAATATATAGGTTTTCTTACTATAGCAACTTAATTTCAATTCCTTAGCAGCAACCCAGGAAACGAGGCTCGTGGTTGTGCAGGAGACTACATGACTAGAATGGGGGTTGGGGTATATGATAGTATGTTTGTACAAGAAATGTTCGGGAACACTTCTGGCAGTTCTTGTGTATGTTAGTCATGGAGGGGGGATGTTTCGCAGAAGTAGCTTAGGTCTTAGGTGCAAAGACGTCGAGAAACGCAAGAGATTGGAAACTCTAAGCCTCAGAAAAGTCTCTCATCTAATTTGCGTCCGGTCGCCAGGCCCCACTTGCCCAGGCCCTGGATCTTCCCCAGCTCCTGCCCAAGACAACTGGTGATCAACTCAATCCTGGCACGGCTACTGTATATTATGTACACTATGTCATAAGTTATAACTGTGGAGCTGGCGCAATGCTAAGCTCAAGGAGACGTATATTCGTGGTTTCAGGCTGTTGAACACAGAACACGCACCAACAAGGCAGCGCTGCTCCTCGTGGAAGGTGGAATTCGAGAAGTTGAAGAAGCTGCTGACAGGCAAAGCCCGCAGACATTTGATCTGATCTGCGCCAGGACAGCCCATCACCTGGCTTCAGATTACAAATGTCTCTCTTTTAGAAGGATTTGCTTAGGAACTCTCATCTGGGGAGTTGTATGAGGGCAAAGAGAATGATGACTCCAAACTGCAAGCTCAAGATGTCACAATCTACCCTACAAATCAATGATCCTCCCTGTCAGGCCCCCAAAGCAAGACCTTACGTTCCATAGGTTCTGAGCCATGGCCCCACCTCGGCCAGAGTGGAGTAAAAGCTGAGGGCATCATCCTGTGTAGCGCTTTCATTTCTCCAGCTTATAGTTGTATTCAAACCAGAACGAACAAGATGATCTCAGCACCTGGCAAACTGTGTTCCGGCACCCTATACCAAACACAAGACCTTGTCCCTCTTGAGCCTGGTATGTTCAACAACTTTGTCAGGTGCTCAAAACCGCTCTGGCACTATGGTAGTTTCCATTTTCTTTTCCATTATCCAAAATACACCCAATATAATTCCAATATAACCTCAATATAACCTAAATGGAACATAGTAGTTTCCAGGTCCTTCTTGCTGTAGTACCAGCCACTGTCCTCAGCTGAGCAGACGGCTTTGGGGGCCCTAAGCCTGCGCCAAAAAAAAAGCCACTAGCGCAGCCAAGACTCTAAGGCAGTGCCTTCCAGGATACCTGAGTAGACTATAATATACTGTAGTATATTCTAATATAGTATCATATACTATAGTATATTATAATATAGTAGAGGTTCCGAGGCAGCAATACCAGGCTGCTTTGAGGTGTGGGGCGTAGTTTTCAGGCTTGGAAGTCTGAGGGGATCTGACTGAAGAAACTCAATAACTTCCGGAAGTTTAGGAATAAGGTGCCCAGTTATGGTCTGTGGATGGATGTTGCAGGTGTTCAGCGCATTGCGACATGGCTTTGATGCCTACAAAGTGGATGGGGTTCTGCTCCTGCTCCAAGATTCAGGCAACCTCTCAGCAGCTTGCAGGATGTACTGCCATGAAGTGCAAAGCAACAAAATAAAAACAATACAGGAAATTCCAAAGCCTCACAATGCGCGGTCGCCTCAGCCTTCGAAAGCCTCTCGGCTGTCCCTACACAATGCTATAGAGTTTCTTGCACACTTAACTACAACCTCCTGTTTGGTAGTTTCCCAAAATGAGGGGACTCCCATGTAGAACCCTAATATACTATAATCCTTATTATAGGAATCCTCAACAAGGTACCCCTAATTTTCGGAAATCTCCCAAATTTTGTTTGGGACCAAGGGGCCCTGAGAGAAGAGTCCACGGCTGCCGGGACTCAAAAGATGGAAGTTCACCTCGGCACTTGGGGGGTTTCCCAAAATTAGGGGTACCTTTACAGGGGGATATAGGGGTTATATAGGGTTTAGGGTGTAGGGGGTTTCCCTAAAATTAGGGGTACCT